CATGTTAAAAATAAATCATCCAAAAACCAACACACATCACACAATAATCATCGCATACATAATCTCACTTCATAGAGAAGAATGTGTATTATTTTTCATCCGGTTCGCATAAATATCGGTCCGAGAAAATTCCTGGGAATGGTTTCCAAAGGGCCATTGACACCGTTTTAATTTACTAAAGGAAGCACTGGACACCCTCTTTTTATGGGATTGCCTGTAAAATGTCGCTGAGTGTGAAGACATTTTCTTTTACGAAGGAAAAGTGTGGGTAAGATCCGTTTCTGTTACGGAATGAACTTTATTTTTCAGTCTCTTTTATGATGTTATATTAATTGTTTCGCTTTTGTTGTTGTGCTTGTTATTTAGAAGCCATCTTTGAGATGAATGGTGTACAATAAAATAACTTTTTAATAGGCGTAAGATGTATCCTAATGGACCTAATCCACTATTAATTTTGGCGTATTGGTGGTTATTGATTAAGGTTCGTTTAAATAAGACAAAGTCATTGCAATAGGTAGAAAACCAAGACCTAATTAAAATTCTACCAGACAATAGGGATGATGACAGGGTATGAAAATTAAAAATCTAATTAGTCCATCAGTTAGGTTATGAAAAAATATTAGACACGTATTTTTTTATTTTGTTGTATAATAAAATGATACTTAGATATAACGAATCAAAGTTTAGGAGTGGGGGCTAAAACGTCATTTCTATAAAATGTACATCGAAGTGACGTCACGCGACATTTCAAATCAATATATCGTCGAAAGTATTCGTTTCTGTAACAAAATAAAAATACGTGTCTAATGATTAAAAATAATCTACCAGACGGACATTAAAATAAAAATTAGTCTACTTACCCTGTTCTGTAAACACTCATTAAAAAGCTCTCATATCTTTCTATCATGTAGGTATGTTTACCATATATGTAAGTTACTCGCATGTTTCTCTTACATAATGTCCTTACCTACCGTTAGATGAAACGAAAGAAAACAACGCAAGTCTTTGCATCTTCATAATATTTGTGAAACGTTCATTTTGTTTGCGAAACCCACTTTGTACGGGAATTATTATGTTGGACAGAAACTTGACATATTTGCCAAAGGTATTTGATCAAACGGATCGTCAAACATACGAAAATCACTCGACAAATAAGAGAAATAATTTTCCAAAGAGAATTGTGATTCAACAAAGGTACGGATAAATAAAAACGGGTACAATTTCTATGGACGCGGGTCCGGAATCCTGGATGTTAATTTTTAGGAGAATTTAGATTCAAGTACACATATCGAGCTTTAAGAACCATTTTATCCTGATCTCACTTTATATAATCTTTCCGCATATTCGATGGTCACTCTATACTGGATGCCATAGCTTCATATGTCCCAACAGAAAGAAACCACAAAGGGATGCTACAAACGAGGAAATATTTAACTGTGAAACATTAAGGGCTTTATGATCTTCCGTATCCTTATTTTGGACTCATAACTGAAACAAGTTGCCAACTATTTTCAGGAATAAGCATGCATCAGTAGTTTTATGTTGCAATAGTTACTTAAAGTTTATTGTTCGTTCTCCAATTTGGTACGAGCCACTAGTTTCACTATATGACCGAAAACAGTCGTACTTGTCTTACATTGTTGATCTTTCAAAGTGCCTTACTAGTCTCATTGAGATTAATGTTCTGTTTTATTTCTTTCATGTTGCATCATCCTCCTACTTCTTCTTCGCATCCTTAGTAGGATTAGGGTTGTTTTCGTCCATAGGCACCTACTTTTAACTCAAGAAAATGAATATATTACTCATGGATATTGTAGTACTTGCCTCGTTGGCCGACTGGTCGCAAGTGAGACTGCCAGGCAAGGGGTCTTGGGTTCGATTCCCGGGTCGGGCAAAGTATTACTGGGTATTTAAAAATCTCAGTAGTAGCACGGAGCCTGGAAATAGGCCCGGTATATGACAATAGGCTCACCTCCTGTTACATGGGACTCATAACATAAATAGTGAAAAGTAAATGTTACATTATACAGTGGCATTAAGTGGCGTAATGTGCATCTCTACCTACCCCTTTGGGGATAACAGACTTAATGTTATGTTATGTAGTACCCATGAAATCAATATCCAGTATAAGACCAGCCTTGCCCAAACATGCAGTATCAAATAAGCAATGACCGAAAAATAAATACCAATTATGATTGTATTTTAATACGCCGAAAGTTTCGTATTCTGCAAGGTACCATATTAAAAGAACACGAAAATGCTTCCGATATCGAAAAGTAATATAATGCATGTAAAATTGAGGCGTTATGTTACATTTTACACGTTGGACGATTGCCAGGGCAGCCATTTTTATCAACTGCCAATATTTTCATTCGGCGCCGGTGTACGCGCCAAAATTTTTATTATAAATCTACGAAGATTTTAATATTTATTTCGCGCAATACGAGTGTTTTTGGTTTTGAATTGTTAATGATTTATTGCCTGACGAGTTGTGGTTACAGAGGAGAGTTATGAAATATAGCTTAATTGCTTTTTTTCTGGGTTATTACTTTGTAGGTTGATATTCGAGCCAGACAAAGTTGATTTTTGATTTTTTTATTAGATAAGCCGGTAACCGAGCAGACGGATCACCTGATGGTAAGCAATCGGCGTCGCCCATGGACACCTGGATACCAGAAATATTACAAGTGCGTTACCGGCCTTTTGGGGATTAAGAGTTTGAGGATTGTGGGGGATCCGGGGATTGGGGAGATTGTGGAAGGGGGGGAGGGTAGCTGGGCTTCCGGTAACCTCACTCATACGACGAAACCCAACGCAAGCGTTGCTTCACGTCGGTTTTCTGTGAGGCCGTGGTATTACTCCAGTTGAACGCCGGCGTATTCGAGCCGAATCATGGCTCTCCCACACTTAAAAATAACGTGTTAAACTTAGTCATAAAGCTTACAATAAAGTTTCGCCTTAAGGTTCAATTTGCTCCAGAACATTTCAGTAAGACACATTATAGGGGTAGATATAGGTGTTATCTTATCGCAACTGTCGATTTCACTCATTTTATAGTAAGGAATAAAATACTTTAAAACAACTAAACAAAGGGTCTACAATCACTTACATTGTACTTCTAAACAATTCATAAAGTAACAGGTGCGGGACTTCAGGTAGCAAATGATATCGTTCCCAAGCTGTTACGGAATATGTTATTACGACGACACTACAATTCCAAAGACATTTGTAACATTCTTTGCTGAATACCCTAGAGTTTTAGCTTACTGTTTTATCTAGCTCTTTGTCTAGTTTTTGTTTTAAATCTGTTTCTAACGTGTACTTAGTTATTTAATTTTTAACGTTTGTTTTTATAGTATTATACTGATAGATTCTTTGTGATTCTACTTTGATTTAATATTTACCTAAGATAGCTGTTACTGGTGTATATTTCTATTCAG